ATGACAGATCAGTCTTCCCCTTATGGTGCCCCATATCAACAATACTGCAACTGTCTCTAGTAACAAAAATTTGATCTTGAGCCACAGGTGAGGCTTAACACCAAGAGTAACTGGCAGACTGACTGTCGGCCATAACATGATTTCGACTTGAAAAAGCTGCAGCTGAGAATTATTATACTTGTAAGAAAACTGGCAGCTGGTACAGACATGAACACAGAAGCAGAGAAATCTCCACTGTCTGAAGCCGTTATTAAGGAACTAATGGAGACACAGCAAGCAGGCTGAGAAGACTTAGCATGTTGTGTAGTGATTTGTTGTAAAGTGTGTGGATTAGCAACAGTACACTGCTTTGGATAGTAACATCATCATGCGACAAAACCAGAACAAATGCTAGAACGCATGCTGGTCAGAATGAGTGAAATTTGAGAGATGGTGGAAGCTGGCCATGTGAAGATGAAACCTGATCAAGATGGAGACATGCCTAAACGCAAGGAAGGCATGTCTAGAAAAGAGGGGGTCCAGCCTGGAAAAGTAAGAGACCAAGACAGAGGAACATCCAGACAGAATAGAGGCAGTCAGGAAAAAACTCAGGCCACAGCAGATCACCCTAAATGGGTACCACATGTACAAGCCATGCACCTACTTACAACCCTGCAGATCTTACCTTTCAGTGTTCTACATGGAGATCCTAAAAGAGCAATGTATAAGCAGACCACTGGGGCACATGAGGACTGATTTGGGGACCAGCAACTGGCGCAGGGTACCACAATCAACCGAAGAAATGGACACAAGACAATTGTGAACCCTTGCATGAGGTTGCCACTGCTGACCCTAGAGCTGGGAGTCATAAAGCGAGCAGTCGAGTCGTCTGTCAGGCTCCAGAAAACAAGTAACAGGGCACCGTGGAGGAGTCGGCCTCCTCCCAAATGAATGAAGAGACTATGGACAGCTTACATGCGGGCACTGTAGGGGCACAAGCCGATTTCAAAGGTTCTGCCCGGACATAATGAGAAGCAGAAACTCCACAAACATCAAAAGCACTGTCACATGTTGTGTAGTCTTCAAACTGCACTCCAAGAGATTGTAAATTGTGCCAGTCATCCTCTTCATCTTCAATGAGTTTCACTCCACTATCATTATTGTGGACATGTTCAATCCAGAAACTACACTTCACAATGAAGTTCTTGATTGTAGGGGGTGTTATCATTATCAAAGTTTCCGTCACGAAATGCCTTGCAGACAACACATCCAGCCTCATCTGTGTAGCATCTTGGAGCAGTTCCCCATCTGTCCTCTCTACAGTCTTCTGAACCAACTGCTTTCTGTAATGGCACTTCAATGCATGGATAATTCCAAAACCTAGAGGCAGTAGCTGGTTTGTACAGTTAACTGGGAGAAATACAACACTGATATTGCTCAGAAATGAGGTGTTCTTCAAGTGAGCAGCAAACAGATCACTGAAATTTTTAGCACTCACTTTTCTAGCTGTGTGAGGTAATCTTAAAATATTTTTGTGGCCATCCAAGAATTTGTATTACCTTCATATTTTGTATATAGTCTCTTGACATCTTGAAGCAATGTAGACTTTTATATTTTCCAGTTGCAATAGGTGGTGGTTTACCATTACCATCTGCATTTCATGTGAGGAGCAAAGTAACCCACTGTTGCTTGCTGGATTGTAGATTGAAAAACACACCTGTCTCATCAGCATTCTACATATCACAGAGGTCATAACCTTAAATTTCTTGCAACAGACAGTAGTTTTTCTGGTCCCCTACAATTACTGAATCAACACTCCTGTTCTCACTTGATGTGAGTTCTGTAACAAATGATGTGTTTCCTCTTAATACATTGCGGACCAGCGATTTAAATATTTAAATCACCCTGGGGCCACCATTATTAAACCTACTATCCTAACTTGTGCACTGTTCACTTTAAAAATTAATATAAAATCTCCTAATTAATTTCATGAACTAAAATTTTTGGAGAACACTAACCAATGCTCCTAGAAGTGCTTGAGGGTGTGATATTTCTGGAAACATTCCCCTTTGTGAAGTGGCATTACACAGAACTTGCAAATGTAGACATATTCCTTTTTTGTGAACTGTGCAAACACGGCATTGCGTAGAAGGATGCTTCCCCTTGGAATGTTCACTCTTCAGTTTTCAAGAGGGGATGTTTCCGCATATCACCCGAGAGTCACCCTGGGGGGTCCACATGAGGCCTGCGTGGGGTGGGAGTTGATAGTCCTGGTCGCACTAAGTCTGTGTCTGACTCTGGTTCTGCCGCCACCATCTGGTTTGTAGCCCAGGCCTTTGCCACATTCATCAGAAATGCTTTGTATTTCAATTTTGAATCAGGGTTTAGATTTTTGTGATTTTTTTAGATTGTTTACTGTCCCCACAATGTTAGTCCCCAAAATGTTATTACCCCCACTATCGTCAGAGCTACTGTCACTTTTACTGTCTGCGGCCACAATTCTTTGTTCTCCCGTCACTGCCACTTCTCAATCACCATGACTATGCGTCTCAAAAGTCAGGACAGCTAGCTCATCGGAGAAGAATTTGTCCTTGTCCATACCCCACCACTAACTACTGGCTGCTACATACAGCTCAAAGAGCATCAAAGCATTTTCGTTTATAGTGGGTTAAGAAAACAGCGAGGTGAAGTTACTGACAAGTAAGCAAACAGTCCAGAGTTTTATTACGCCACTGCGTGCAACTTGGGTGGCACCAGAGCAAGGTATAGTGTGTTACAACGTAACATGTCCTAAAATCATGATATCATGCAACCGGCCCGCCACATTTAAAAGCCAAAAGCATATCATGTGACCAGTCCTCAATGTGTTAAATCTGTTGATCCAACCACAGGAAGCCGAAAAGTTGGCTACTTCCAATCAACCAGCAATGTGCAAGGCTTTCTCCTTGAGGTGGGTGCCATCAGTGGAATGCTAAGAAGGGAACACACATCACAAGACACGGTTTACACAGAATATAAGAAAAACGACCCCCATAGTGGAAGAACCACACGCAAGTTTTAATTAAGACACATAAGATGAATAATCTTAACAAGTTTTAGTGGGTGTAAATTTATTCTAGTTGACAAATACGCACTTTTTAAATACTTTTATAAAGACATATAAAGGCAAACAATGCCATAGATTAGCATAATTAGGGCACCTGATGATGGCACTATGTTGCCGAAACATGTCGTGAAGTAACAGGTGAAACTGAGTGCACCACAAGACGGCCACTGTATACATATCATGGATGATAACATTTTCATGTAACTTCTAAATAAGTGGCAATGCTGGACAAATGGAATTATCTGGTGCCCTGTTTAATCTTTGTTGGGACAATGGAACACCTCACTTCAAAACACACTGATCTTGTTCCAAATGGCATATCTGGTCACCCTGAACTACAGTGCGTACAATCAAGTGCGCGCCGCGGCTGCAATTTGCCTTGAGTCATACCACCGCAGAACGGATGCAACTCCTCCCCGCGACTGCAGTGCTCCTACGCCGATGGTTGCATAATCGGAACCCGAGGTTGCATTAAACAGTCAGTCTTTGTCTTGCTGTGGAAGTGGAGTGGAATGTTTACAGCTGTCGACAGACGGTGGAAATGAAGTTCACTATTAAACAGCGTGTGTTTATTGTCGAAACTATTGCAAGGAAAAACATTTACAGAAAATTCGCACGTAGGTTTCGTCAGAAATATCCTGACTCGCCAGTTCCCACAAAGTCGTGTGTAAACAGGCTTCTGAAAAAGTGGCGGGCCACAGGTTCAGTGAGTGACAAGAAGAAGCAATCGAAG